CGAAAAAATAATTAAATATTGACAATTAGTGACCCTAAAAACCTCCGGAAAAATTTTAGTTGGATCTGTAAAATATGTTTCTAGTCGATATTTTGAAACCGGCATTTTGATTTTTTAACGCCAGACAGTTGCTTTGAATTAATAGTAACGACATTTGTTCGAGTGCCCTCCACCTATCACTAATAGTTTTCGAGATATAGTACGTTTAATTTTGTTTGGCCGTTAAAAATTCGACTAAGGTGTAGATACATAGCGTATAGTGTGAAAATAGTATGAATCTAAATGTTATATTTTCAGCAGGCAGTAGAGTGTCTCCCTGATGCAGAGCAGATTTTGAAGATCTGGAAGTTTTCTCATACTCATCGTCACTAACAAATTAAACAAAAACTTCACATACATCATTTTTACCCTCCGAGGCTTCTTCTGGGACAAAATTTATGTTAGAGAGTGAACCACCAGTCAGTCAGTCTGTGAGTGGGAATATGTACTTAGTTTTAAATTATTGTAATACATTGATAAGCTATTACAAGAAACAAGTAACGTTACGTTACATTGCATGCCACGTTACCCATAACTTTGTTAAACTATAACGCTTAATCATGGCAACACCTGTGTTAAAGTTTTGTGTTCCAAGCGTTAACCTCAATTTTTATTTTGGCTTATTAAATATTAGTTTCCAATTTTACTAACATGTGAAATGTGATTCCATCCTGCTTTTTATTTCTCAAAGATTGGTTTTCACACCCTTTCACAACACAATTCGCCATTTTTTTCTTTAAAAATTGCGAATTATTATAGTGTTACACTCCGCGCGCTGGAATAGCTCGACTGACATGATAAGGCGTAGTTTATATGCGTGTGCGTGTAACTGTCTATCTACAAGGCGAGGCGTAGTTTAACCGGCCTCAGTGCGTTGTTCGGCGGAGCTCCGTCTTGACTTTTTATTTTATCTGAGGTCTGCAACCCCCGGCAAGGTTTGAAAGAAAATTCAATAAATTAAATTAATAATGGTCATTACTTAAAGTATGTCATCAATTGTGTGTCCAGTGAAGTGAAAAAATAAATTGATTGACATGTTATGATTACTAAGATAACAATGTTTTCTTTTAATGCGAATGCGTGCGACCCGGCTGGCGCGCGGCAGCTCTCTAAATTGGCCCGTCAAGACGAGCCTGCCGTGTACTTGTAGCTTTATACCTAAACTGTGGAGAGTACCTGGCCTGGCTGCACCAAAAATTTAGGCGATATATGTATATAAATAAGGAAAGATATGTAAAAGAAAAGAAACGTGCTGTAAAATTGTTTTGATACAAAAACATTAAAATTGTGTTAACTTGCGTATTTAATTTGAAGATTTGTGGTTTTGATTAAGTGAGTAGCAAATGACTCTGAAGAGTAACTGCATTTTAATTTTTTCATGGGGATGGATTTTTATATTTTCACAGGTTATGAATTTTAATGTATTCTTGAAGTTTCACCAAGAATGTACATTGAGTCTTACAGTTTGGCATATGCTTAATGAAGGACAGGCACAATTATTTAATACATGCCTGAACTGACTACTGGATTAATAAAGTGTGGTCAAAATTGAAACAAAAGTACGCTCCAAGTGATATTTTAATGCTGATGAAGCCAGAATTCTCTTTAAGCTGACACCCGATAAAAATGAAATTTAAAGAGAAAAGTGTGTGGGAAGAAAACAATTCAAAGAGTGCTTTTTGTTGCTAATATGAAGGGCACAGAAAAAGGAAGCTAGTGGTAACAGGCACATCAAATAAGAACATTAAAGAATTGCCAGTCAGTAAAGTTGATAAATCAGCCTGGATGCAAAGTCAACTTTTTGAAGAATTGCGAAGGTGGGATGCAGAATCAAAGTGACGAAAAATCTTGCTTTTTGTTGACAACTGCCCTGCTCACACTATAAAGGTCACAGCTCATTAGAGCCACCCGGCACCCGACCCTCATCGCCTCGTCGCCAGGCGTCTGCTCGTAGTCGACAGGTGGACGCCGCGTTGTCAGCAGTGAACCTCCCGTTGTAATCGAGTGGACCTCACGTCGTCAACGAGTGGACCTCGCGTGATCTACGAGTGACCCTCGCGTGACCAACGACTTTCCGAGTAGTCTACTAGCGTTTCGCCCTAGGTGTGCACGTGTGTTCAGTGGTGTCAAATTTTACAATCCGTGAATTGGCCCTTATAGCTGTCAGTCTTGATGATGATGAATGGGTTGGTGGAGAGTGCCGCATAGCACCCGCGTGATCCGCGCGTTGCCAGCTCGCACTTCACGCGAGGCAAGCATGCCAACAGCGAGCTATCATCGAGGTGTGACACCTCGCGAGCGCAGGCCCGTACAAATCCATACGAAGAATACGAACCGCTCGAGGCGAGGCGGTGAGGGTCGGGTGCCGGGCGGCTCTAATGAGCTGTGACCTTTATATCTAACCTTCACAACATAGTCCACATTTTTTCCACCAAACACGACTAGTGTCTTACAACCAATGGATCAAAGCGTGATTAAAAGTTTCAAGGGTCACTACAGAAAGTAACTATTGATGAAGTTAGTCGAATCTGAGGATAAAACTTCTATTAATATGCTGAATGCAGTAAATTTTTTATTCTAAGGCGAAAGCAAAGAGACAGCAAAAACTATACTCTTTTCGTCATGTTGGACTTAGTACCAGTTCTGCAAGTGATGAAGTTGAAACAGGACCAAAGTTTAAAAGTGAAGATGACCTTATATTAGCTGAGTGGGTTCAACAGTTCAACATGTCACAAAATTTCACTGAAAATCTACATAGAAGTAGACAACAGCCTGGCCTACAACAGCTTCACTTACAGATGTATAAATTCTGGATTGGGTGAGAATAACTGAGAAAAAATAACAAGCGGATGAAAGAGATGAGACGGATTATATTAAGCATCCACCAAGCATTAAACAAGCACTCGATGCAGCGAAATTATTAGAAAAATACTTTTTGTATAACCAAGTTGACCCACAGTATCCTAACATTTGAATAAAATACATAAGAAAATATAATTAAAACACTGGTGCAGCAAAAACGACAGACAAAGATAACAGACTATACGCAAAAAGCGTTGTTATTTGTATTAATATGTTTGTTGTTTGTACATTTTATATTTTTAAGTAAATAATATTATAAAATAAGAAGTATTATGTCACGAATTCTTTCCCTTCTTTTTTTTTTGCAATCTGTATAAACCAAGATTCTACGGCCACCAGACATCACTTATTTTCTGAGGAACGAAATGTGTAAAATGGATTAGTGTTAATAACATCATTAAATATAATTTTCATGTTTCTTTAATTTTTCAGATCTTAATTGTTTCACTTGTTTTTTACAGAGGAAGAACCTAAGGATAATGCTGATGGTCAAGATGCCGATTTAGATATTCAATATCAATTGGCTCGATGATGAATTGTGTATTTAATGACGATGGCAATGAAGATTAGAAGCTAGTAAAATACTTACAAATATTGAGGAATTAATATTTTTCCAACTTTGTTTTTGTAACATTAATTCCGAAGACGTAATTATTTGAAAAAAAAATTGCTGTTATTTAATGAATTTATTAAAGTCAAGCTTTTGATATTTTATTTAAAAAAAGAAGTTTACTTGAGTTTATTAAAACAGCTTGTAAGGTAAAATTCTAGAATTATAGTGGTCAGATGAGCACTTATTTAAAAGTTGATCTTCAATTAATTAGCAATTTTTTTTTAATTTAGATTTTTTATAAGTATTAATAATTCATTGATATGAGTAAACTGTAAGAGAGAGGGAGAGTTCAATATAATACTAATACATGTCTCAGTCACGCTCATGTGCGCGGATAATGCCTTCGCGCTCATACCCACACGCTCATATACACAAGCTCAAACTCTGTTTGTTTATTACCCGGAGGGTTAGGACATCAAAACTTGAGAAGGAATTTGCATGTCCAAAATGTGTAAATAACCCAATATTTTGACGGTTGTCGGTCCAATAAAACTGCCACATTGATATCTTATTTATCTATATATTTTTATTGTTGTCTGCTGCTACAGATTACACTTGCCATATTATACACTTTATTTAAATAAAACAATCCAAAAACTAGTGCTGCCATGTATAGTGGCCTCTCTGTTGAATCTATAATCTGTCTTATTATTTTGTATTATTTTATAATAGAAGTACCTTATTCTTATACGATGCCGAACATCAATTACCTAACTACTAATCAACAAATAAAAATAATATTAAATCTTAGATAGATAGTTACATTAGAATTATTTATTTATTATTAATTAACACTTAGCTGATCCATTCTGTTGATTAACAATTATTATTATACTTAATGTATTTTAAAAACACATTAACTAATTAAACTTTCTATTTAATTGAGAAAATGACCATACAATGGATGCATATCTATAATTATTTCTTATCTTTGAAATCAATAGTGAATTTACAAACTATTCTATATTTTACGAAAACTTAACTATTATATATACCATATTTGTGTCTTATAACGACAGCAATGTGTAACATATAACTAAAAATTCGAATGAAACACTACACGGCGAGTGTGAATATTACCGTAAAAATTGAAGGTCATACTATAATCTTCTCTATTGCATCTTTCAATAAAAGATACTTCTTTACTTAGTTTTTAACCAAGGCAAAAATATAAGAAAAATAAGATCACGGTAAATTATTATTCATTGTCTCTAAAATACGTGGTGATGTGGCGGGAATTTATATTTTATGGGCAATAAAATTTATTAGGCTCTTGCATCATTTTACATAAGTGACTCTTTTCCATGTTATTGTAGTTGTTGGCACAATTTTTTTTATTTTTAGACTAATAAATTCTTTAAATAGGACTATAGAATAGAACCACAGCACCAAGGAAGCAAGGTTCACTAGAAATAAAAAGATAAATATAGAAATATTAAAAAATACTCTTGATTTAAATGTAAAAATGAGAAACAATAATACTTACGATTCATTGGATTGATTCTCGACCGATCAGCTTGCTTTAATGGCAAACAAACAGGACAGTCATTCTTGTTACAGTGTTTCCAGTGGTTGATTATTTGTCTTGATGATGAACAGTGAGGCACCGAGCAATTTTTTCCTGCCTAAAAAATTAACATTTTGTTATGAACATATGAAGTATGTACTTATAAAATATATTTGTAATCACAAATTAAAATACGAGTTTATTTTATTTAATAAAATTCATCAAAACTTTTAAAGACTTTATAAAGAATCAGAAGACTAAATATGATACTAACCTGACAAGACATCATATGGTTGAGAACACCTTTCATAGTCTTGCAGTGTGGTAACGTACACTGCCACGTCTCGCCGTTTTGCGACTGCGACTCGCGGCGTTGGCACTTATGCGCATGCAGCAGAAGCACCAACTGCTGCTGAATGAGCTTGCGCTTCTCCGGGTCCGCAATTGACCCGCCAGGTGTCGCCGCAGCCTGATGTTAGAAACGAATTTGAGTTTACTAAATGCTAATTTTATAAAAAAAAATAATGCAGTATTAAAAAATTCATAGACTGAATCAAATGATTATAAACTATGAATAAACCTAATCGGTTTTAAAAATCCTCGGCCTAACCGAGATTTGAGGGTACTATGTAAATAAATTTATACTAATTTGATAGCTTGATTCTTTATTTAATCGGTATGCAAGTGCCATTGTGATAGGTTGAGCAATTATTTTTCTACGCTTTTTTGTTCGAGCGGATATGCTTTTCTCCCGGAAAATTGAAAAAATGAAATAAGAACTGTGATTAAATATTTCGTCAAAAAAAAAAAGATAACGCCCAGTCAAATCAAAGAAAGACATTAGGTTAACCTCTTAGACCTTGACATTTTATTGGACATAATTAGTCAGAACTATGGTCAAGCCAAAGAGTATAGTAGGTCAGGCCAAAGACAATTTTTTTAAAAGATGGTAAATATAACTTAGAGTCATTACTATGTTCTTACCCAAAAATAATAAAAATATCAACAATTAAAATATCGAATTATTTGTATGAAGGTCAAGTGAGCGCTAGAGTAACGACGATTTCAAGACGATGTGTCGATAAATGAAATGTTTTGAGAAATTACCAATTATTATGTAGTGACGGTGTATGAATATTCATATCATTCCGTGGGTTTCGTAAGAGGAGACTGATGCACTGTTCAGTTCCACGGTACACGTAACTTGATACTGTGTAAAAGTAACAAGGTAAGTGTACCGTGGAACAGAATGTGGCAACTATGACAAGTATACCCTCTATGAGAAATATAGTGGAGGCCTATGTTCGGTGGGTTATTTTTAGAATGTAACGGTGTTTGTTGTAATAGTGATAAGAAAAAAAATGTGGGAGGAAGAAAAGGCGAACATTTTTTTTTAAATTTAATCTCGGTGGAACGCGGATAATCCATGCGATGTTTAGGGCAGCGTTGCAAAGGTGGGTGATATTTGTGGCAATAAAATTCTGTGCTCCCCTTTATTTCCATGGCCCATGACCAGCAGTGGAAGGAAACTGTAAGGAGAGGGAGGGATTAATTTTATTATTTATAAAAATATTTTTGTGTGTAAAGAAAGTCATCAAACATCATCAAATAATTTATTAAACAAAACTTGCGTAAACAAGTACAATGTTTAACAGTAATAAATAACAAAGCCAAACAATTCTACTGAAAAGAAAAAAATTTAAATATTATGTTACTTCTACAACTAAGGCAAATCTAATGAATTGTCATATGTCATAATTCAATATCTATATGTTAAAATCAAATAAATACTATGAAGAAAGAAACAAGGAGGTAGAAACTCGATTTTCATAAAGAAAAGAAATATATAATATAACTAGATGACCAGGCACACATTGTTCTGCCCTTTCCGATGACCATGTGTCCTAAAAATCATTAAATTCACAATAAAAAAAATTGAGGGTCAATTATCAGGATAAAAACTATCCAATCTTTCAAGTTAGACCAAACTGCACACATTGTGAAACATTTCATTGAAATCAGTTCAGTAGTTTAGGAGTTCATCGAGGGCAAACAACGTGACACGTAATTTTTATATATAAAGATTATATATACATATATACAATATACTCAGTAGGAGCGTCAAAAAAAATTAAATCATAGGTATATACTTTATTATGCTATCTTTGAGCAACGTCATTTTTCTACTGACTTCAAACAGGAGGAGGTACTGAAGTCAACTCGATATTTTTTTTATGTGTGTTACCTCATAACTTCCTTCTGGTTGAACTGATTTCGATGATTCTTTTTTTATTTGAAAGCTGGTGCTTCACATGTGGTCCCATATAAATTTGAATAAGGTCTGACTAATCCGCCAAGTCGAGCAAAAAAGCGGCACGGCCGTACCATCCTTTTCTCGAAGCAATTCATGTCATTTTCAACCACCTATAACTTCACAAGGATAGAACTACAAGCCTGAATTTTCAGTAACCAGGCAGACAGTAGTTTAAGAATTATAATTAGTAAAACTTTCTTAATTTAGTCACTCACTGATCATCAAAACTCTAAGGCACTTCTAGCAGACTTTAGAAGCTTCAAATTTAGAATACAAGTAGTATTTAGTGTATAAATACAGGTTTTTTTTTTATAATTTTGGTCCAGTTTTCTAGATACACCAACTGCATAAATAACTTTGTAATCCTATATAAATATATAGGATTACAAAGTTACATTTGCAGTGAATGAATCAGTGTACTTGTATATTTATAATATAATGGTATAATAGGTGTAGATAGGTACCTAGATATAATTATGTTCAAAAGTAACTTGTAAAATGGTCAACGGAATGAGAAAGCAAGAATGGGAGATCCAAAATCAAAATCCAACCGCACTAAATAATCTAATTTAATATAATAATTATGTATTACTTGTGAGATACATTGTGTTTTCATGCGATGGCCAAGTCAATCTATTTATTTTAAACAAAATATTTTTAATATTGATATGGTCACTATAAGACGTTGTGAGGTTAGCTAATTATGTAATAACTTGAGACAGAAGGACCCTTAAGTAGGGACTGAATAAATTAACTGACTTGGTATTACATGGATCTCACAACTTTTTACAGTAAAAGAACTGAGTTGCGAGACTTGGTTCTTTTTATAAGTTATGTTTTTGATGGCAATATTTTTAATTATTGTTGAAAACAATATATATATATATCGAAATTATAACATAAAACGCAATTTTCGCACATTTGACTTTGTAGAATATGAAAATTTGTGTTAATTACACATGATTTATAGTGATAATTCACACTTTATATTTAATTTTCAATTAATTCTGGCTATTAAATACGTGAACGACACAGTATTTGAAATGGCAATTTTATAAAGTGTATAAAATTGTTATGAAGCAAAATATAAGGAATTAACTTTTAAAACAGTGTAATTACTTCCCTTTTATATAAAAACTAACAAAAAACTTTCTATCGTACCCACTTAATTTTTTTTAATTTGTAGTTGCCTCTTACACTCACGCGGCGAAGAGAATAAAGGCGGAAACTCATCATTTGAAGTAAATTCTGTTAATTTAGAGAAGCGTAATTTAGTAACGAAACTAATTCTAATAAAATATTAATTTTATAATTCATATAAATAACATTTAAAAAAAATAATTGTTCTGAGCACTCTTAACTATGGTTCTGACTAAACATAGTGATCATATACTCTTTGGTTCTGAGTATGCGTTTCTAAATATTACCATACTCTTTGGAGCGTTCTACAAAGGTGACATTTGACTGCCCCATGTGTACTTCAAAGATTTGAAAGATTAATCTGCGCCTTCGTATTCCACAGTAAAAAAGTGAGCAGCTTTGTTCAAAAAAGGCAGAGAAAGCGTCGAAGATAAGACCCGAGGAGCCGTCAACATCCATCACTTCAGAAATAATTGACAAAATTCACAAAAATGGTTTTAAAATACCGATGTTTGAAAGTGCTTGAAATAAGTGGCACTATATGGATCTAAACTGAGCGGGTGTTTCATATTTTAACCAACTAGGAATGAAAAAAGGTGTCAGCAAAATGGGTGCCGCGTTTATTGACCGTCAAAAAAAAACTCAACTGTTGTTTCGATCAAATACTAGTACTTTTTAAGAAGATTTATAAACCACTGATGAAACTTGGATTCGCCACTATATTCCTGAGACAAAACAACCCTCGAAATAGTGGGAACATAGCAAGACAGCCTCAAAAGAATTTAGAATTTTCACAGATGGTTCCAAAACAAATGAAGACACAGGATCTGTACACCACTGGGTACCCACACCCACAACAGTCTTTCAGGCAGAATGTATAGGTATCATGCCAGGAAGGTAAGAGATTTCTCCATCGGAATACTGACCAACAGCATGGCGGTACTATAAGCTCTTGAGTTGAAAAATGATGAACTGGGGACTAATATAATATGAATACCATCAATAAATAAATGCGGTTTGTAAACACAACAATGTAACTCTGCAGTGGATCAAGGGACACAGTGGATCCAGGAGCAAGAATGACATCACAACACAACAATGTAACTCTGCAATGAATCAACGGACACAAGATCCAGGAAAGGATCGACTCTAGCCACTATAGGGCCGGAACCAATCATACCAATCGCTTTTGGTAATGTTAGTTCATTGGTACATAGAAACTTCACTAATCAACCAACATGCTTAGCTTTGGATACAGCTAGTAGATCTGAGGACAAGCTAGGGAGGCTCTGCCAGAAATAAAGTTGTTTAACCAAGGTTTTTATAAAGATATAACAAGACATAGATCAGGAGGACAAACATTTATTTACTATAGGTATTACAGATCCCCTGTGCAGGGCATATATGGGGGAGGAAGAAACGGCGACCCAAGTTTTTTTTTATAGGAGAGGGGGCAAAAGAGCATACGGCTCACCTGATGGTAAGTGACTACCAACGACCATGAACAACTGCAACACTAGGGGAATTGCAGATGCGTTGCCGGCCTTTTAAAAAGGAGTAGACTCTTTTCTTGAAGGTCCCTAAGTCGTATCGGTCCGGAAAAATCGCTGGTGGTAATCGATTCCACAAGGAAATTGTGCGAGGAAGAAAACTTCTTCTAAATCGCACAGTGGTGGACCGCCAATCACCCAGATGGTATGGATGGATAGTTATGTCGCGATGTGCGATGATGAAATTGAGCGGCTGGAATTAGTCCGAACAATTCCTCAAAGCACTCCCCGTGATAGATGCGATCAAATACGCAACTCTTTGCGTGCAACATCTTTACGCAGTGCCAGTGAGTCAAGCCGGTCGGAAAGAACTCGGTCGTCGACGATTCGAACCGCTCTGCGCTGGATGCGGTCAAGTGGAAGGAGCTGGCACTGGGGAGCCCCTGCCCAGAGATAGGAACAGTATTCCATATGGGGCCGAACCTGCGCCTTGTAAAGTTGTAAGCGGTGTGCCGGCATGAAATACTGTCCTGCTCTGCTGAGCACGCCAAGTTTTTAGAGGCCAATTTGGCCTTCTCTTCCAAGTGACCACGAAACTGCACGTCACTCGATATGTCGACACCGAGGATTTCGATCCTAGCGGATGCAACAAGGGGAGTTCTTTGAAACTGAGGAGATACGTCTAAGGGGTTCTTTTTAGCGGTAAACGCGCAAACTTGTGTCTTTTGGGGATTGAACTGGACTAGATTTAGTCACCCCCAGTTTGAGACTTTGTTCAACAAAGTCTTGACTTCAGACACAAGTTTGTTCCGATACTCGGCGACGTTTCCCCGTGAAATATTGGCACGGCCGGTGTATAAAGAAAGCATCACCAGTGCTGTCGTCTGCATAGCAATGAATGTTACCGGTTTGCAGCATATCATTGATATGCAGAAGAAACAGCGTTAATGATAGCACGCAGCCCTGTGGAACACCAGCGTTAATAGGCTTGTAATCGGAGCATTCACCGTCTACTACGACCTTGATGCTCCAATCTGCAAGAAAATTGGAAATTCCCGAGAAATTGTGCACAATTGCATTTGTGATCCATTTGCACAATTTCTCGGGAAGCCTGTAGACGCGGGAATGGTCGTCGCTGTCTATGCGCAGCCATAGGATGGACAGGTCTGTACCTTCAAGACTGCGGAGGCGTCGAAAACAGATGATCTCTCTGACGTACATACAAACTCCAGCCCGGGGCACAAAGGAGTGTTCTAATTTGTACCCGGATAGAGAGGACACCTGTGTCTCGGTTAGAAAGCTTTGCCGTCTCCAGGTGGTAGTGGACGGCGTTAAGATTTGAAAGTCCCCTGATATTGCAGAAATTCACGGAAAGCGTGGCAGGGGTTGCCTTTGTCTTATTGCTCCGTTTGCCGAGCAGGTTTCCTCTGGAGCGGAACCCCCCCCCCCCCCCCCCCTCCAGAATACGAGGGGCAGCGTGAGCACCCACGCTCAACAAAAGTAGGGTAGCTTGACGTGGATGCTCAGCGACGGATTCTCCAGGGTAGTTTACTTTTGCTACCATGTTGATTGGGGGGGGGGGGGGGGGGTTGAGCCTCCGGCCACCTGCACTCACCAGGCGAAATGCAGAAGTAAACTTCTACTTCACGCTAGTATTCTGTGAGGTCGTGGTACCACCCCGGTTCGAGCCGGCCCATCCGTGCGACAGCAAAAGCTTGTGGACCCTGCATACAGGACTAAACATTTCGGCACGCCGGGATCACTCCCGAAGTTGTTTGCAGCATCTAAGGGCTGTTGAAACTTTTTCGGGGAGATTTCATGGCTCGTCTTTTGGGATATTACAAGGGAATTATTTTTATTGACTATCTATACTACTTTTATGACTATCCCAAAGGATAGTCTATCCTTTGGGGACTATAACAGACCTATACCATGCTAACCTGTTAGACAAATTAGCCGACAAAATTCGTGAAAAGCAGTCGGGATTGGCTTAAAAGAAAGTCCTTTTTCATTTTCATTCCCTAAATTTAAAAAACACCAGGCAGGAAATTTCCCACAAGCGAAGAGGTGATATGCTGAGATGTAGCGATTTTTTGAAGATTTGGAGAAATCCGCCTATAAGAGCTGCATAGAATTGCTGGATCATTGATTGAATAAATGTATTAAGGCAAGGGGAGAATATGTAGAAAAAAAAATTTTTTTCGATTTTTTTAGTCAGGTCGAAAACTTTTGAAACCACCCTTGTATTTACAACCCGCTATTACTTGCGACTTTGTCCATGTAGAATTCAACAAAACAAAACCTGCATATCTATAATAGTGGTCTTTAGGTGAGTATAGTTCAATTATTATCAATCAAATATTTTATTATGTTTTTGATTTCACAAAAAAGAATTCTTTGTTTTTCAGATAAAATATAGCCTAGATCACTTTTGGCATTCTGAAGATTAGCCTAAACAGATATACAGACAGACAAACATTTTAAAAATGGTTATTTATGCTTTAGTAGAATACTTATAACTACTGAACCTAATAAAAGACAGTTATTCGACATTAAAACAGACACTTTATAGACCGCCTTTCATTTCTGAGTTCATTTCAATGTGTGTTGGAGAACTTCACATGTGTTTGAAATAATTTTTGTTTAAGTTTTCACTTCAAAACCATTTCCTTGTCTTATTTTTAAAACTAAAATCCTATTTGTATGCACAGAGGCACCATAAGTTTTAATTTGTTTAGTTTTAGGTGTGAACGGAACAAAGATAGTGAAAAATGTGCAGGTGTACCTGCGTGGCGGCTTGCGGCTGCGACTGGCCGCCGGCGGGCGCGCCGGGAGTCTGCGGCGAGGGCGCGGGCGGCACGGCGGGCGCGGCGCCGCCGGCGGGCGCGGCCGAGTCGGGCGGCCCGAAGCGCACGCCGGGCGGGCAGCGCGCCGGCGGCGACTGCGCGTACGTGGGGTGGTACGGCACCAGCGGGTGCCCGCCGCCGCCCGGCGCCGCCATGCGCGCGTGCTGCTGCAGCGCGCCGCGCATGCCCGCCGCCGCCGCCGCCGCCTGCATGCCCACGCGCCCGCCCAGCGGACCGTTCTGCATCACCTGCAACAACTTGACGCGTTCTTATCTGCTTTAATCATCCTAACAAACCAATTTTACTTTTTTTATAAAACAACAACTGCCAAGTCCATCGGACACAAAAACAAACAAAAGGCTACAAATGCATTGTCACATATGAGAGTTAAGATGGAATGCTTCACAGCCTGTAATCATACATATTTTATACCCATCACACCAGAACTCAACACTGCTATTGGTTGGTAAAAAATTAAAAATAGAGTGGTTTGTACCTACCCCGATGGACTCCTTAGGAATAAAAATAAGTCCTATCACGTAATAAACCTTTACACTTCTCTATGTAAGAGATTTCGAAATTAGAATGCCAACACTTTCGTCTACTGTGAGGTCAAAATTGTAACATTAATAGACTGCGTAAAAATAACACATAAAATATGCAGTGGGGTGTGAGAGCAGCAATAGAGGTCCTTTCAGCCACGGCACTACTTATGCCCTTTGATAATTAAAAATTATCAACAAAGCAAAAACAGAAACACACACATTGTAACCTTCTCTAACCCTTATCTCTTTATGCTACATGAACATTCATAACCCAAGTGGAAAACTAACAATAGGGTATTACACCCATTTTGAAATAATGTTTTAAATGAATGCTAGAGTGATAATGAACCACTATATTTTTTCATATATTTTTATAAACCGAGTAGTGCCATAAAAATTACTTTTAATCTACAGTTTTAAATTTTCGCGCAAATACGCTAGCCGCCATGCGGTTCAACTCGTGAAATCACTGCTCTAATAAATAAAAGAATTTTGAAAAGGAATAAGATATTTTTGGATGTTTAATAATGAGTTATCATCATTATCATTGGTGTATTGTGCCTAAATGCAAAAATACAAGCATAAAAACGCCGGGGAAGTTATGGATTCAAGTGAAAACTGATTTAAATATGAGAAATACTTGGTTAAATCTGGCAAGAAGAGACCCCATAGACACTGTCTACAAAAACTAGACTACTTCTATGAAGATCACTTTGATGTATGACTTATATTTAACAAACATTTAACATTTATATAAAACAAAACATCATGAGGTGATAGGTATTGCAAGTCAAGTTTTGTAATAGATTAGGTGTGAGATTGTAATTAGAGATAAACTACATATTACTAACATAAAATACATATTACTAACATAAAATAAATTTTATGTTAGTAATATGTACTCTTACATTGCTGTTTTAACATTCCTCAACTCGGCAGAATAAAAACGTATATGCATGAAAAAAAATTTGCCACCATCAATGTATTTATTTTTGGTAGATTAGTACTTTCTGCTATTACGAATCCGTCTTCCATGATGCCATTTCAATAAAATACGGAATAAAAGTCAACAATCGTGATAATATTTTTTTTTTTATAGGAGAAGGGGCAAACGAGCATGCGGCTCACCTGATGGTAAGTGACTACCGCCGCCCATGAACAACTGCAACACCAGGGGAATCGCAGATGCGTTGCCGGCCTTAAATAACTTAATAAATAATTTAATAACTTGAAAATTTCAAAATTGCAATTCTGAATTACATTTCTATAGTAAACAGCTCGTTTATTATAGAAGTGACGTCATGACGGAATTTAATATGGCGGGTAGCTTTTTGAATGTTTGAGGCACAGGAAAAAAAATCATTCTTAAAATTGAATTATAAAAGGGCAATGGCAGAAAAATAAAATAGTTGACAAAAATTATTGCATCTAGAAATAAGTATATAAAATGAGTTTTATTATTTTTCTATGATTTTTCAAATAAAAATGTATTTTATTTGAAAAATCGCACAGAAAAAAAAACAAACAATTTTGGGAATATCAAATGACTTAAATCATTTTACTCTATTCAAGTGTTGCCATTTACTATATTCATACTATTTTCGTATACACTTTGTAAGACTACCAACATAACACACAAACACAAAATACATATTTTTATATTGAGTTATTATTAGTAATAACTATACTATCAGAAATAATAAAAATAAAAGTGATATAGTTGAAAATAAGTCTCTTACAAAGAACTTCCTAAAATAATATATTATCCAATCATAGTAATATGTAACAGTTCCATTTAATGTTATGGCAACACTAGCTAAAACAAAATGTCACTGTTTTTGTTTTTACTGGCTTTACAGCTCTGGGTTCTAGCCCTTCTGAGTGTCACTGTATAACACAAAGGCCCTGGAGCCATGCCAGAAATATACATTTATATAAATAGAAATATAAATATACATGTATGCAAATATATAATAGTTACAATAATCTAAAAACTTTAGGTACATTATGTTGAGAATGTATTAAGCTAACATCAAACAACCACAGGACGCATGACTTTTTCCAAGTGACATAAGACATAACCTTAAAAGGTTCAAATATAAATCTTTTTTTTGACGCCTTCTCAGGACAAAATTCTTTGACAGAGTTATTAAAGGACTGACGCTTAACATTTTAAGATTTTTTTGATATATAGACGCTACCATTCCTTCTCAACTAATTTTATGTATGAAAGTCTGCCATTGTTCTTTATAATGCATTTTTATGAATAAAAATCAACCTTTTCTCGTTTACTTTTTACAAAACCTGATTGATAAATAAATATTTCTTTTACAATGTGCAAAGTACTCTCTTTGCGCCTTTAAAACAAATTTTGGCTCCTACATACCTACATAATTACAGTAAAAATTGCTCAATAAAATATCCTTTCAATCTCCAACATGAATAAAGTTTGAGCACAAGCAATTATTAACTTGCCTTATTCATTTCTAATGGTATACAAAGTAAAATTACAATATATTTACTCATTTAAAAAGTGCTCTCTCAGAAGAGTAATGGTGATAATAAAGGAGAAGAAAAGAATCCATAACACTGCTTTAGTGTTAATTATTTATATGCTCAAAACATGCAAGGCCGTAAAATTAACTAAAAATAATTGTGATGGAAGTATTTGATAAGTATACTGTTACTTATTACAGATTAGAAATATTCAAAGGAAACATTGATACACATACTTAGTTAAAGATAGTAAACATAGCATCCGGCCAGTGCCCGTTCCACCTAGACATCGAGTTCGAAGTTATACGTATGTTGATTGTTCTAAAACTCTCTACGCTTTAGTGCTTGTCTTTTGCTCAAATATTGTGGGGACGTTTATGTACATTTAATATACTTACAAGACAGCCTTAATTTGTGTAAATCCTTTCTATTTATTGTGTAGTATTTGCATAAATATTTGAAATTATTGTGTATAATTAGTTAATATAGTGCATAGGCCTAGAATAATTAGTGGGCTGTCACTGAACAGCCAGGCACAGATAAATTTAAAGATGTTACAAATTTTGTAAAGCAGTAATATTGTTTTAAAAAACTGAAAAGAGTGGATCAATAACGATTTTAACATTCACAGATTTTTAGACACATTAGTAAGGCAATATTTATTGCATAAATATACATATGTAGTCGACAGGACAAGGCATGAATTAAAATATAATTATATTTTTACTTACTTGTGTGTGTGGATGATGAGGTGCTGATGCGTGGTGATTGTTACTCATCAGTGTTGGGAGCTGCTTATTTACATTATTAAGAATCCCACTGCCGAGCATCCCAGCACCAGTCATATTACTGTTCGTCACAATCATATTGCCTCCAACATTTGCTACATTCATTGCACCTAAAAAAATATGTAATTTAAATAAAAATCATTTTAGGCTTGTTTTAATACACCATAGGCCAAAAGTATCACATTGTTGCCTCAAATGAATCAAGAAACAAAATAAAATGTTCTCTCACTGCCTATCATTGTTTTCTAGATTTAATTTTTTCATATAAATTAACTTTTCTTTGTATATAAAAATGTAACATGTTACAGTATCTTAAGTAACTAGCTGGGTTGGGATTTCAAAAACTAGCAATCTCTAGGCACTGTAATAATCCTAACTTTGGATTTCATTATTCACATTAAGAAAGCTAACTATTATTTGCATGCTGTTGAAAACAGCTAAATAGGTTTTCTCAACACATTGTGATAACACCAAGAATGAAATATTTTTGTACCCATTTACTAGCAAATAAAGAATTTGAATTTATAAGCACCAAACTTATATGGACCACACTCAAGTTCCATATAAAATTTACAGTTACTGTTGTTTAGTTGCATAATAAATACTGAAATAAATATAAATGTAAAAAAAGGTACCATTCTCATAGATAGCAGTTTGATTCTCGGAGGGAACAATAGTATGTATAGCTTACAAATAATTACCCAATACTCAATGTGTATAGAAATCCTATACAAATATTTATATTATCATATATATTTTAATAGGAACACTTTTTGCACAAATGTACCAGGTGCACATTGCAAAATTGTCAACTGGAAGGAATGATAACTTCCCTGCTATCTTACATACCCCTTTCTACGTAAAAATAGAATACTGTGCAATCATTCATGCAAACTTAGTGGTTTTTTTTTTATAGGATAAGGGTTACAAACGAGCACACAGTCCACCTGATGGTAAGGGGTTGTTGCAGCCCATAGACATCTACATCTATCCTCGATTACAAATGAAAATGCAGATGCGTTTCCACCCGTGAGGAGTAAGATGGAATGCCTCATTTCTAGTAAAAAGGGTCCCCGGTTCTCTACACTCACCATACGAAACACAGCAGCGTTAAGCTGCTATTTTACGCCGGTATTCCGTGAGAGCGTGGTCCTTCCCCAGTCGAGCCGACCCATTCATGCTACAACTATACTACTTATATAGCTGCAGCATGACTACCACGTTCAATTTTATGCATTTAAGTTTGGTCAAAATAATATATAGTTTATTACTATAAAATAGGAGTATACACACTAACAAAATCAATATTTTCTGGCACTATTTAATATGTTTACTAAAAGTATTAAATAGCAAGTAGAGATAAAAATATGTATTACAAAATGTTTGCAATTATACATCAAGTTGATTGTAGAACATAGTTCAAAATGGTAATTTTTTTATGTTAAGGGTGTTACCACATCAATTGATCGATCGTCGAGTGATGGCATTGATCAATGGTGGAATGTATTAGTAGACATGCGGTGCTTGATTATTCAGAAACCCACCCCGCTCCATCAACCACTATGTAAAATGTTGTCTAGATTAATTTAAGCTATCTCTGGCCTAAAAAATGGTCACATCCAGAGTCTTCTGAGTTTGTGTCTTCCTAATATTAATAATATGAGCAAAAGCGTACAGGTTAACAATAATGCATTCTCTTCTGAATACATTTTGAAAGATATTGATGATGAGCCCACAACCCCATTGATTAATTGCCGATCGACAATTGATAAATTGGTGTGGTAACACCCTTAAACCAATAAAAAATTAATTTCCTCTTTAAATAAAACTTACCTTGGATGGAACTCATGGGCATATTAGAATGCAGTTGGTTAGGATGGCTTGTATTTGGTATTAACTGTGGATGCAGGCTTCCCATAAGGTCCTTGGACACGGATACATTTGGAGGGGACTGCAAGTTTGGGCTCTTACTTCCTAAAGTACCTAATCCTAAAGGATTATTGTGGCCAACTAAACCACTCTTGTTGCCCTGTGAAAAGACCAGCAAACGACATAATAATTTATTAGTATTGCCTTGTAAAATATTAAAATTTCTAAGTTGATTTAAAAGTGTTATATAGAATAATAGAAATTATATGGTAGAAATTATTATTTTAATTCTTTTAAATCTGAAACTTCTGCACTAAAATAATATTATTGAATATAATATATAGACATCGGATTATATGCACTAACAAATAGCCAAAATATGTATGCAAATATGCACTAAAAAAGGCCAAAATATGCACTTATAACTGTTATATTATTTATTAATATATTACTTATAACATAGTTATAAGTAATATACTAATGATAATATACTAATATGTATAAATATGTTATATTACTTATAACTGTTATATATTTTATAGCATTATTAACTGTTATTATAACTGTTGATATGTCCAAAATATGCACAATGCAAAATAAAAAAACCATTTTTATTTATATATATTTCAATTAAAGACTACAAAAAAGTGAGTGTTCTTAAAATTATGCATAGTTTTTATGGCAATATACAATTAATGTTTTTCCAAATTTTGGAGTGGAAATTTGTGACATTTGTCACCCAATATCAATTTGTACGCCGAAAACAAAAAACTCTCTACATCAACTGACGTCATTGGACAAAATTTAAAATTTGGCCAGTCAGTTCAGTCAGCCAGTGCACTCGCACCCTACACGCCTTCGTCACCTAGGTCCCTATACGTACCTCCCACTACTAAACCAAAATATGCACGATTGGGGGAAATAGGCTAAAATATGCATTAACGCCGTAATTAGAGAAACAGAAACAGAAACTTTTTTATTCAATATAGATTATAAATAATACTTATTGAAAGTCATATGCATTTGCATATTATCATATGCAAATGCAAAATCCGATGTCTAATAATATAAATAAAATATATGGATATTGTTATTTGAAAGAGTATTTATATTTAGTTAATATAAGATCATAAAATTAAAAATTCTGCAGTCCCAGGTACTCACTTGTTGTATAAGGTGGTTGTTAATTTGTCTGTGCATAGCTGCTGCAGGGTCATCCCCATTGAGCTGCTGTTGTGTGGCCATTTGTCCTCCAGGCCCTGGCCCTTGTGCTGGGGGCTTTGGGCCAGTGACACCGGGTTGTTCACCCCAGGACCCTGCCATCAACTCATCAGGTAGGTCCTTTTCCAGGTCGAACATGTCTAGGTTTGAGAACCCATCTAATGTAACAGACATTAATCATTTGGTAAATCTGTTTCTTATTATTTTTTATTTATTATGCACAATTGTATCTGTGATTTTTATATATTTTTTTTAATTTCGTCCAGATTTTACATATTTTTTTATACAAACAGTATCATTGCATAACAATATTATTTGGTTTTATAACACATGTAGTGGTGGTGTAAAAATATCCACTAACCTATATTGAACAGTGGGTGTTGTAATAGGTGACAGAGGGAAACTGTAAGAGGGAATGAGCTAAAGCATTTTCCTGATAACAACCCAAAATAATAAAAAAACTGCAGTTGCTAACCCACTTGCCAAGCATTGCAACCATGAAGCGAAATCCCTTCTATAAATCCCAGCAATCAAAGAATGTTGTCTATGTTCAGCAGTGGACTTTCATAGTTAGTAATGGATGGATTTTGGTTCTATAAACTATAGTTAAATTTAAAATATTGCCACAAATTGAAATTAAGAGAACCTTGTTAACAATGTTACTAACAAAACACGATAAAATATCATAAAAAAATACTATGTAATATAGACAGACATGTGATCAAAATATGTAAGGTATGCAAGGTATATAAATTAAAATAATATTGTCATGATTATGTTTTTTCTGACAAAATATTCTCGATTACAATGAAGCTTATATTTGAAAGATTATCTATAAATCCAATCTAAATATATAAAATATAACATTAGTTGGTTTATATATTAAAAAAAAAAACAATAGAAGCCAGTAAATTATACTTAAATGTGACTTATTCAATTCATTAATATATGAAGACTATTTTAATATAGAAGAATAATTAATTAATTGAATATTCTCTCATGCTCATAATGTAAAAATTCATAATCTAATGGAAGAATGAATTTAAAAAACTTACATATGAAATTTAAATAAAGTATTGATTTACATACAGGTTATACTACTTAACTATGGATATAATATGATATTCTATTAATAAATTACATGTAACAACCTGCATGTGTAAATAAAACAAATTTTTAGAAAATACTGAAGTATATACTTAATAATTATGACAATATGTGAAAACAATTAGAAATGTTAACTGATACAATACTTTATTAATCCATATCAGTAATAAATACACTAAATACATTTTTTTAATAAATTTGTAAAAGTTCAGAACGATTTTTAAAACAAACTTAAAAAATCTTTGTGATTACAAATTGTTTAGGTTGCATGCAATGGTTTGGCTACTTTGTGTAAATATTTCTATAAAACCTACACTAATAACAAATAATAGCATTGATTAAACAAAACAAGGGTACAGTTATCTTTGAAAATTGGCACAGACTGAATTTTGATTAAGCGAAGATACATATATAATTCAATGAAAACAATAATATAATCAATGTGAACATAAAAAAAAACATAATTCTAAATAAATACAAACTTGGATATGTGTTTTCTTAAATAATAAAATATATAATGTCCTAAAATATTAAATATTTCTTTTCAAATATCAACCTTTTTTTAGTTATAGAAACAATGAACACATTATAGATTTTGATCATAAGTTCATGGCACATCAATCTCATTTTAGAAAGTAACTTTTTTAACATAATCGTCTTTTAAAAGGAAATTATTTATTGATATATTTTGAAAATTTTATTGCCTGTTGTAGTAATAACATTAGAATAAAAAATTGGCTAACTATTAAAAATAACTTGGCCCTCTTTGAAATTGTAACTTTTGACTTGAAGTCACATATTAACTCCAAACAAATAAATTTATACTAACAAATATTACAAAAACTAAGACATCCAAGCTATATTTCATATGCTTTACGTTTAGAGAACAATAATACGACGCAAAACTTCGAGGCGCTAACAAGAGCAAAGGCAAAATGTCAAAAATCACAGCAAGATACATTGACAGAAGTGCCATGAAAAACTCAATAAACTTGTAAAATATACACAAATACTCACCCGCGGTGTCCGAGGGACCCTGGAAAGGGTCCCGGATCATCTTAGCCCGCTTGTTAGGCGGCTCATCAACATGATGATCGGCCATGGCTCTGTTTACTAAACGTAAGCCGTCGTGAATATTTCGGCCCGCCGATTTAAATAACACTTTTATGTCTTATATTTTTAAAAAATAACATTTTAAAGCGATTTGTCATCCATCATAATGTAATTCACCCACATCGCGATCGTTCGATGTACTTCAGACCATTGAAGGCACATATTAAAATTTCTCACTCAAGTATTCGCCATTACAAAGCTCGGAATCGAAGAGCTACACAGACCCTCTCACCATCTTCCGTCGGAACTAGCACAATAAATGAAAACAATATCACCAGATTTTCGCTGCTTAAAGGAACTTATTTTACCGAACGAATAACACGATTTCACTTAATTGTATAAAATATAAGGAATGGATAAAATGATGTAAGAAAAAAACAGAAAATTTACAAGACAAATTCCGAAATACTTCTTAGTCTCTCCAGAGCAAAATGGCGGCTGTTGATGAAAACTTTTTCTACGCTTGTCAGAAAATGTCGGCCTATAAACCGAGTAAGACCACTGATTGGATGATGCACACCACGTGACTACCGGAAGTGCCGATTTGACGCAGGATCGGTCCAATTCTTCTGACGTCACCGCGTTCGGATGCGAACAATACCGAAGTTGTCCGAAGACTTTTTAATTTATATAAATACAATTTTTGAAAATAATCCATAGTGAAAGCTATTGATATTTGTTAATTTAAATAATTTGATTTATAAAAAACACATTTATATTAGACTTCTATGGAAATACACATAGGAAAAATTAATATATTTAGTAATATTTAAACTTTCCCTCGTAATCGGGAGTGGCAATCATCAATACGACGTGTCTTTATCTATGGTCTCTAGGTCACCAACGACAAATAATTATACTTTGTTTTTAATCAGATTAGTACGAACAGAGTACGAATCTTCGGCCAAACTAAGGCGAATCTTGCGCGCGACGCGGGACGCGAATTTGCGCGATTCGCTCGCTCGCTAAGCCTCCCAAACAGGGGCAAATCCCGCACGTCATTAGTTTAGGTTAGCTTAGGTTTTGTTTTTATTAGCATTAACCGAAGAAGAATCTCAAGATGTGAAGAAGAAAAGAAGAAAATGGGTTCATGAGCTATTCAACGCATAGAATTTGGAGAGTTTTACACTTTGATACACACATTACGAAAAGATAAAAAAAAGATTTTATACATATTTTCTTATGCCGAAAGAATGCTATAACGAAGTTTTATAATAATCGAACAAAATATACGGAAACATGTTTTGTTCGATTCTTGATAAAACTTCCCATACCCTATTTTTTTTTATAGTCTTCGTGACTTTGGTCGTGTAGAATCTTGTTTTCTTTTAATTTTTATAAAAATAATTAAAGTTTCAACGGCATTTCGAAAAATCAGACACTATCCCGCGTATATTTCGCTGCAGAACGTGCAACTATTCGCGCCAATGTGAACACCTCCATAGAAGTTAACTGACGCAATCGACGCGAGTAAATCGCGTCCCACGTCCTGCGCGGGATTCACCCCACTTTGGCCGAAGCTTTATACTTTGTTCAAACACAAAATAATCAAAAATGTAGGTACACAGTTTATAGGTAGGCATAGACTTAGAATATACTGGCGTAATAGGTAGATATATTAACACGACATTAAATTGTATTAGGTAGGTAATGACTTATACTCTTTGGTAATGACACAGAGTAATATGACGCTTATGTATGAGTCATGAATTCTATCTCATATACTTTAACGTCCTATTACCCAATTCATATGATGAATACTATATTATCTGCCTCATAAATTATCAATAAACAGGACTGTCTGTTTGATTGTTTGACTGTCTGGCTAATTTTATTAATAGTTAACCGTCAAAAGTTACCCGTCGAATCAATAATAACCTGACTGAATATAAAGTCAAGCAATTGAATTATATACATACCACCTTAATCTTTAATTTGCTTATGTTTTATTTTATTATCTGACATTTGAAAAATCTGCCCTTATTGTATTTCGCCATAGAGTCTTTGGCCTGTGTTTCTTCCAAGAAGGTTATAATATATTTTACAATCTCCTTGGTAGCTTCATGTATTTGCAGAGATATTTATTATACTCTGTACGACATAGCTTAACAGATGTCAAATTTGCAATCGACATAACTTTACAGTGACTGACTTGACACTGGCAGAATTCTATCAAGAGAAGCATAGATAAATATATATGTAGCAAGCTAAAGAGAAGCCATAATATAAAAGAAGAAGAAGAACTTTGCAATGACGAACATAATATTATCTTATTTTAATAATTTTAAAAATTGTTAAAAATTTTAAAAATAGACACAACACAAAATTATTAAAGATTCAAACATTTTCATTACAAAATCTAAGTGGTTTTTATTGTTTCAAATATTTAAATAGAAAAGCTGAAAACAATGGACGCTCGTGCAATGTTACATCGTTCGATCGGATGGGACACAAATAACAGACAGTGACTGTTACAAATATCGGTTATACAGAAGCCTTAATTAAAATAATTTTTATCTATATATGGAAATCTTGGTTGTGCTTCTCTTACCGATTAAAAACTTTGTTTTAAAGAGAAAATTTTACTTTATTTTTCAACCTTCATTTTAACTCAATATTATATAACAGCATCCTTTTTTACAATACTAGATATTTTCTGTTTCCCATCACTAGACCCACAGGGTATAAATAAGGTATTTCTTTCTTTATAGGAGTCATATTCTTGAGATATCTCTCTTAAAATATAATAAATTATGTTATACCTCTTGAATAAATCACAGAGCGGTGCGTTAGCAGCATTTAAATTTTTTCAGATACAATTTTATTTTATTAGTATGTTCCGCACTGTTACAGATACCTTGTTCTGTAACTTAAAACCTTGATTATACCTGGTGCCACTTAAATATTCGGGCCATTTTATGGATTATCCATATTTAATAAATAATAACCGTTCCTGCTACATAGAAACAACATTATTGTTTTATTTTTTCTTATATTAAATTTATTTATTTCGTTCCCTTAGTAGATGCATAAATATTTAAAATAATGACGCAACTTATGTCCGCAAAAATGTCGAACAATGGAAAAAAAAAACAAGGCCAAGGACAAGGCTTGTTATATTTTGTTTCCATAATTTTGTATCTGAGAATGAAAAAAGTTAAATCCGTCTTCAAACAACTAAAAACAATAAAATAATCATTAAGTAACATAAAGCAACAAGGGCTACCGGCGGATGGGAGGGGAGGAGCAATACGCAGGTATTCCCTTTTGTCAAAGTATAAGTCCACGATAAAACTATCTGCAATCGCACTGCTCACTAGACTAAATCTAGTTACGCGTTTAAATCGACGTCCTGCAAAAATGCCGAATTGTTAAGTTATTTGTTGCAAAAATAAATCTACCGTGTCAAATTTACAAAAAACTTACGTTACCTTTTAAAAGACGAGACAACAGTCGATTGTTTTTGTGCGTGCACATTTCCCATCGCAAAAATTGACTGACATTTCTGTATCGGGGAAAAACGTTATGGCTACTCCTCTACCGTCCGCCCCGGTGTTGCTCTATGATCATAACAGTGTATCAAAATCCACTGTTAAACATAGGCCTTTTATATATATTTTCAGCTGAGCAAGTGGTAAATCAGCATATAATATTGAAATTACAAATCCAACTCGCCTATGTACCGTGAGACTCTCAAAACTTAACATCAATTCACACCTCTCTATTAGTAGTAGTAAATTACACGCAACATCTTTCATTACGTTTCTCTGAAATTTTACTGTCTTTTATGCATTATTTGAGAATAAAATTTGACAAAGCGAGACAAGTATAAGTAAGTAGATTTTGAATATATACGGGCAAATAGACGATCAAGACACAGGTCAGAAAGTTGAATTTTCAGACCATGACCCCCAGAGATTTTTTTTACTGTAATGGACAGTTTTTCCGTGGAATTTCTTTTTGTTTAACAAAATGTTAATAAAAAATAAACAGGTGTCCATGTACTCCATATCTTCATTTTTTTATTTCACCAATAAAACATTTCAAAATTATTTTTTAAGCAAATTAATTACAATTACTTATTGACTGAACATACTTATATTACAGATTCCTACAAATTTTCTTACTTAAATTATTAAGTTTGCATTCATATTTAAGCCGAATGCCAAAGTAAATTTCTATAACGTATTTTATTATTAAATATTAATTGATCACTTAAAACATCTTGCTCAAATTTTCCAAACACAAAAACAAGTTGGAATTAAAGTAAACTATAGCATAAAAAGTAAAACTTATAATAAAGTTACGTTTTTACTACGCAAATCGAGCATTTCTTTTCTGTTCTGTCGAGTCATTATAAACATTCAAGATAAATAGCGAAATTATTTCGATAAAGTTGCGCATGTAAAATATGTCCACCAAAAATGTATCCACCAAAATCATGCATACTATAGAGGGTAGAGGTAAGGAGGACTATCTTATTTGGGGGATAAGATGAAGAAGTGTCTAGCTGTAAGTTGTAAATAGCAGTTATAAAACATTCCAGAATGGCGCTAGCTAGATACGAGGTATGGTATGAACACGGAGCAAATACAAAGTACTTTGTATTTGCTGGGTATGAATGTATATGAGCGGATTTCAAATAAAATGACGCGTTACGTAAGCGGTATCTAATATTTTTCATAAATCGAAATGGACTTAAATGTGGATATTTCGGTGGTAAATTTAGTAAATTGTTTGATAATGTAAAGAATATTAAGAATGTTCTAATCTTTATATACAGAAATTACGTGTCACGTTGTTTGTCCACGATGGATTCCTAAACTACTGAACTGATTTCAATGAAATTGTGCACACTGTGAGCATTTTGGTCTAACTTGAGAGATATGATAGTTTTTATCCCGATAAATGACCCTCAAATTTTTTTATTGCGAATTTAAGGATTTTTATACGGTCGTTGGAAAGGGCAGAACAACGTCTGCCTGGCGA